GGTGGATAAGAGACAGGGACTGCAGGTTTCTACAGCTTTAACTTAATCATGTATCCAGAGGCCAAAGGACTGGAGCTGGTTCTGCTGTGCCAGTTAAAGAAACATCAAACTGTCAAAGGAGCAAAAGCTTGTATTGACAGCTGGGCCAGATGTGTCCCTGTCCTAAGTTATTTCTTCACATTGTGCCAGCATGGACAAAAAGCTTTCAAATGCTCCATGACAAATGAGGCCGTATGATTTGATCGAAAGCTCCAGAAAAGCTGCTAAGTGGAACTTGCGATGAGATTGTTTTCTCAACATTATTATTAGTTGCAGACTTATTTAGAAGTCAAAAGGAAAAAGTGACAGGTTACCCGTGTGTAAGGCGAAGACACTCCACTCAGTGGCCACGGAGGTTCTTAGTCATGACCTTCAATCTCAGGCTTTTTCTATGTTGTCGGAAAATCAACAACAGTCTCTTTCACTACAACATCCAAAAGCAGCCAGACCTCCGGTATTTTGTACTCCATGCAGACCAATAGCAGAAGCCAGGAAAAGTTCTAAACATGTGTTAGAACAGTGATTAAAGCCACTGACTGCAGAATAGTAGGTCCGGGTTTGCCTCCCCTGTCAAGACACTGTACCTTGTTTTGTCAGTGTGATTTTAACGTATGTGCAATCACATTAACCGATAACAGGAGCCAGTAAAAGTTCCGAAGATGTTCCAGTAAGCAGGCGACTGGTACAATGGTTAAGGCCACTGACTGTGGTACGGCAGGTCGTGGGTTCATGCCAGTTCACCGAGCATAGATACTTCCAAAAGCATGACGAGCACCGGTGGGCGTTCACGGTTGGGGCACCTGCACCATGAAGGAGAGGAGAGGAGAAGGGGTGAGGAAAATGTGGGGAAGCGGAGGATAGAAGAGGGGTTAGTGAGAGAGTAAGAAAAGACTTTTTTGTTTAGCTCTTTTTAGAAAAAAAAAGTACCTTCCCCTTCTCTTATTGCGGAGGAGGAAGGACCGCTACCTCCTATGCACACACTTCATTTTCCATTTCCGGCTGCGGACACCCACCTGCCGTGGAGGATGACATCCCCACACTGAACTGCATCGTTTTTGTTGTGTATGTAGCTCAGCGAACAGGCTCGAACCCACGGTCTGCCGTACCACAGTCTGTGGCGTTAACCACTGCGCCATCCGCTTGCATACAAGGAAACATTCGGAACGTTTACTGACTCCTCTTATCACCTAAAGTCATTGCACAAGGATCAAAATCCTCACAAAACAAGCTATTATGCCTTAACAGAGAAATGAACCGCGACCTGTCGGGCCAGCAGTCAGCGGTGTTACCCACTGCGCCAATCGGCCCGATGCACAATGATACATCCGGAACTTTACCTGCCTTCTGCTATTGGTCATTATCCCAGAGTAGGAAGCACCACAAGTTTGTGTTACTTTTGGATGTTGTAATGAAAGAAACTACTGATGATTTTCCGACAGTCTACAAAAGCCTGAGACTGAAGATCATGACTAAGACTAAGAACCTCCTGGTAGTGGAGTCTCTGAAAGCAGCAAGATGGACAATAAGCTCCTAGAGGAGGTAACACGGAGAAAGGTGTGATGAACAGACAGACATGGATATTGGAAAGTTCATTCTTTATTGATTCTTTTAACATATTTACACACGTCCATAGTTACAGCCACATACATGCACACATCCGCCTACCAATACAAGATAGGAGATCCTCTTTTTTTTTTTTTAAATGTTTTGTGTTTTAAAAGTGTTTAACACCTTTTTAAAAAGTGTTTTAAAACGCATTTAAAAAAAGCAGGGGATCTCCCATCTTCTCTAACTCCTCTCTACCTACCCCCTAATCGAACCCCGTCCTGCTGTACTACAGTCAGTAGTGTTAACCACCAAGTTACCCAATATATTGACTCAGAATCCACACAATTCTAAATCAGTCTCAACAGTAATTTGGTAGCAAAATTAAATTCACAACAGAGAAATTAAAATCAGCTTCCCTGCCAGCAGACACTCTGAGCAAGGCACTGTAGTAGTGTATGTAATTTAGTGGAAGTGGTGCTGCTTCACAGTTTGGCCGTAGCCTTCTTTAGTTGATCCCTCAGTTCTAGATGAGCAATGGAGGTGAGGTGCACTTCATCTGGTCCATCAGCAATGCGCAGGGTCCGAACGTATGAATACCTAAGAAAGAAAGAAAGTGGCATTAAAGGTGTGAAGCAGAAAATGTATTAATGCTCAGTCTCATTTGTATGAAAAAGAGAGACTTACATCTGTGCTAGTGGGAAGTCCCCGGACACACCTGCACCTCCATATACCTGTATTGCACAGTCCACCACCTTACAGGCCATCCTAGCTGCTGCCACCTTTATCATAGATATCTGGGAAGCAGAAAAGAAATGAAGAACAAAGGGCTTGAGAAAAAAAAACTGGTGCTATGCTTCACATAAATGCTACCATACTTAAGTAATCTTAGCATTTACAGTATAGTGTGTGTACATTACAAAGGTGGCAAAACAGAATATACTCAAAACATTTTTTGTGTACTCAGTTTGAGTGTGCTGTTTGTGCACACTATTTTCTCTCAGTGCAATGTCCAAAGAAATGAACTGTTCACAGCTGTGCTGATGAAAAACAAATTTACTTTTGTCATTGTTCAACCTAGTTGGCAGTGGAACCACATCTGAAGTTTTTTTTTGTAGTTATAAAATGGTTTACTTGAATAACTGCAAAACACACTATAAAGATTAACCATGTACTTGTACAAGTACGATACAGTGCACAAGTACTATATCAAAATTTAAACAATCAACAGTTGTACCTGCTTGCGAGCAGCCCGGCTGCCCACTGTATCCAGTGCATGAGCAGCATGTAGAGTCAGCAGGCGGGTCTGTTCTATCATCACACGGCACTCTGCTATCTGGTGAGCAACAACTTCCTAGATACACAGACAACACACATTAACTTGAGTGCATTTGCAAATCAGCCCACTAGGTGGCAGCAGCATGAAAGAGCTCAACATAATGTATACGAGTATGGGTTCGCTCTCCGGGTGTATTTTTACTCACATGTTGGTACAGTTTCTTTCCAAACGTGCTCCTGGTAGCAGCCCGCTGGCAGAGCATCTCCAGTGCCAGCTCTGCCACGCCAACAGCCCTCATACAGTGGTGTAACCTGCCTGGCCCCAGACGGCCCTGGGCAATCTCAAATCCCTTGCCCTCTCCTGGTAACAAACACAGTGGGATATGACAGATACCATGAATCACCACTGGAGGGAAATCTGTCCTAGAGACATGTTATACATAATTGTTGGTGTTGTCTAAATACAATAAAGCTAAGATAAGGAGTCCTATAATTTTATGGCTTTATTGGTGTGGTGTGCTTCTTTAGATAATGTGAGTGTGTAAGAGAAAACAAACACTGCAGCCTCACCCAGAATAATGTTGGAAACAGGAACATGCACGTTTTCAAAGTGGACTTCAAAGTGGCCACCATGGATAGCATCTGAGAACAGAAACAGAGAAATTTGGTTAAATTAGATCAGGAAGCTCATTTGTCATGTAAAAAGATTTTTAAAAAAGCTAATTACAACTGAATTAAAACAGGACATGGAGATGTAATAACAGGCGTGATCCTACCATCCTGTCCAAACACGGTAAGTGGTCTGATGCGCTTTACGCCTGGTGTGTCCATAGGTACGAGGATCATACTGTGATGGCCATGCCTACGGAACAAGTATAACCAAAGCTTTAGAGGAATGACACATTACCTTTTTTTCTTTTAACAGTTTCTTTAATCTATAGCTCCACAATAACCATTTTTAATTCTGCTTTAAATATGATAAATTGTACAGCTGCTGCTGGTGAGAATCTGAAACCCTGATTTATTTCACTCTTTGCAAACATGTTGGGTGTGTTTCTTTCTGTTACACTGCTGTGGCAACAAAGAAGGAAATAAGTATTACATATCTTGGGTGTGGTTGTGCCTTACATTTTTTTCATTAATGTCCTAAATGTTTGTAACTGGCGAGCACTGGATTAGTGCCAGTTACATGTCAGCCGATTTTTAACAGACATGTATCAACAAGATTAAACTGATGACATTTTTCTTTTCTACATGACACAAATCCTTAGGCAGAAACACTGAGTACTGGTGTTCAAATACATGCCTGCTGGGAGGTACACAATATATCCCTGCGAAAATTCCATTACATGCCTCTCAAGTAAAGTGCAAAAGTATGTAGACAAGCACAGAAATAAGTAAATTAAATGTTAGTATAATTAATATAATGTATATAAAACCTGAAGACTAACACTTGTTCCAACTAGAATAATGCTAACAAAAACAATAAAGCTTGTGGTTAAAAACATCACATCAGAACCTTGAAACCTTGCACATACAGATAATTCACGCACACACACACCCACATGCACGCACGCACGTACACACACACACACACACACACACACACACACACACACACACACACACAGTCGTCAGCACATGACTATTCTACTGACCTGCTGCTAACATCCTTAGGACTGCTCCTACACATCACGATGGCCACGTTGCATTTGGGATTGCCTGCACCTGCGGGAAACAGCCAAAGACAAACAACGTGATAAACAACTTGTCATAGTCTGACTCTGCCCGTAACCACTCAGTGACCTCAGGATGGCCGGACATAATGTGTCTTGCTGACTCGGGGGCGTCAAACACAGATGGAGCTTGTGACAGATTGATGGCATGACAACGGCCAGCTGAGACAGCAATGGGTTGATTCACATTTCCTGAGTTAAATTCTTTCCACTTTTTAATAACTCAGATCTCATTTGTTGGAGAGAAAATGAAGATGTAATTTCTGGGAAAAAAAATCTTTTATGGCTACAAAAACATATAAAAACCAGAGAAACCTCCCACTAGAGGGCAACATCATATAGATATCATGAAGAGCAGTTTAACAAGCTATGGCCAAAACTAGATGCAGTGAAAATGAAGTGATGATGATCATTAATCCCACAGCTATGCACAGAGCATGAAGGGGCCTAATGCAGAATACTCTGTTTGGGGGTCCACATGGAGGTCCACATGGCCTTGGATCACTAAGGCAGAGTCGTGGTCCCCAGTGGTCTTTCTTCCTGTTTATATTTCTACCCAAGTGGCAAAACCGTCCCCTAAGGAAAACTCATAAAGACACCAGACAGCTACAGACAAGGCATCAATAGTCACTAAATGTTCACAGCCTCAGAATCACAGCATGTAAACACAAACACAATCTGACATGTTTAGTCTTTAAACTCCTCTGATTCCAGAAGTTAAAACAAACACTACATCTTTTACATTTACACTGTAACAAAGGCACAAAAAGGTTTTCATCCAACTGCATCAATAACCACATCCAAAAAAGCCCATTGGGCTCGGAGGCAGGATTAGATTTTTCCTATGAACCCTTACACAAGTCTCATGGACCATGGCACAAGGTGAGCCCTCCTGTCATCTGACCAACATGCCCATACGTGTCCTATCAAGGCTGGAATGAAAATACAATGTCCTCAGTCCAAATAATCTGTCTTTCTGAGAATCTAACAGCCAAATATTTTATGTTGTTGAATTTAAAGAAGTAACTTTCACATCAGTATGGTTGACTTTAAACAAATGAATGGCCTTTCATTTTACCAACTTTGGCTTTTTATGTAAGTAGGCTTTTATTTATTTCTGTTCCCAAATCGTTTTGCTTTAAGCATTTTTATTCATGTTATTTATAACCAGACACACATGGAAAGAATGAGAGGAGGATTACAAGCAAGTCTACCACTTTTGAAGAAGCTGAAATAAGGAAACTGTATTAATTATAAGAGAAATCCAGGAAATTAAAATACTACTGTGCCATAACCTCCAAGTTAAAAGTATCCAAAACAAAATGGCTTAGTTCATATTATCCTTGCTAACGTGAGTGCTGTTGCTCAAGAACGTCCACAGCATGCTATAACAACCTGGCAGGATCCCAGCAGACCACACAACACAAACATCTTGAGACATTATTATATATCCTCCTTTTCTCATTTCTTTTCTTACACTGACAACAGCCAGGACACTTTGTGTGATATCTGAGACTGAAACAGCTTTGGTCTGTACAGTACTGTGGCATATAAAAACAGAAAGTCTAGCCAGCAACGTGACACACGCACACGCACGCACACACTTCATGCAGAGCTACGTGATAAAGCGAGTGCCACAGAGGAGTGGGGCGGGAAGAGAGATCAGTCACGTCAGTCCCTCACTGCATATACAGCTTCTCTCAGGATACACAACAACCATTTGAGTGTGATTACAAAAGGGTTAATATCTTCAGCTTTACAAAAAGGAACAGACAGAAGGTAAGAAAATCTCACTAACTTCCACACCGCTCTATTTTATTTGTTTTTACACTTTTAACTACACGTCGAACTATAACAAAAACAGTGAAATGTCTCCTTTGCCACATTATGCACTGGTAGACCTGCATATAAAATGAGTCATGAGACGTTTGCTGTGATTTGCCACTATACAAATAAAACTGACTTGAAATTGATTTTTTTTTTGAACATGTAATTTTATTTTCCATGTTCGTATTAAGAATATTAATTCAGGCAACTATGTTTTACATTTACTTATTACGCTTACTATTATGGACTATATAATCAAAGGTTCACTTTAGTGTTAGACTAACAGTCAAAGTCCTGAATATTTTATGACATCACAATAACCAGATGAGGTCATTAAAACTAAACTGAGCCTGCTGTCTTAGTTTTGCCAGTTTGTCTCCTTGTTGCTTTGCCCTTTTCTATTCAGTCACAACATTTTAGGTTACATCTCTGTTGTCAAAATAAATGGCACTTTAATCTCAAATCCAGTTTTTTTTTATAAAATGAATTTCAATCACAATTTTTAACTGAAATGTGAAATCTAACACTCCTAAACTGACTAACAAATCTTTTAATAAATAAAACAACCCTCAACAGCTAAATTTAATGCTTTTCCAATGCTATTAAAGGTTTGTTTACATCTTTAATTTGTACACAAAGCAATGACACTGCATTTAAATGAAATCACTATAATTTAGTTAAATATATATGATGTTCATCAGTACTGTCAATAACTTCTGTATATAACTTATAAAGAACCACCACAGAAATGTAAAAACTTGGATCCCCATAACACTCCCCCCCACATATGAAGTGCAGCTGTTGACAGCTGGAGAATACTCGACATTTTTCAGAGTGACCATCTGTTTCAGTAAGTCCTACTCCTCCCATTCACCAGATTATTATATAACAAACTTGGGCACTTTTCTCATGACTGTTGTCATCTTTATCACAGTATTCCCGAGATGCAAAATATTCCGTGCATTCCTGATCCACAGCCAGGAATTCCACCATTCATCACGTCATGTGTTTTGCCATTGGATTTCAGTTTTTTAACTTCCACTTGTTAGTGAGTTGACTAAAATACAAAATACACAGTAGTAATGGATATACAAACAAAGTATAAATACTGATTCCAACCCAACTTGATCATGCTTGTTAAGATCTCCAGTGAGAATTCCCTCTTTTCAATAGGAAACACTAAGCGCCAACATGTACACCCACACACAGTACTGTAATTACTGGTTCTCAGTAGACACAACATTTCCATCTGGAGAGAATAACTGGGGAGGGCAACACAATGACTCATTCTTCAAAAGGGCGTCATGTTGAAGCAGCATATAACATATACACCACAGACAAGGACCATCCTGAATTTGAATCTAGCAACAGGTTTTAGTCATCTTCATCCTCCTCTCCACACATTCCCCATTTTTCTTTTCTCCCACAAACAAATTACCGTTAATCATCAGAAGAAAGAAAACTAAACTAACAGGAGACGTACACAGGAATCAGTGTTCATGGATCATATAAGATTTACAAGCTGTGGATACAGTGCAGCTCATGGATACTGTTTACATTAGGGAATAGATGCCAGCTTTATAATGAATCATGATCAAATATTTTCTTTGTTGCAATTACAAGGAGTGGTTATCCAAAAGATCACATTTCTAAAGTCTGTAGATTACTTGATATCCGACAAAATACAAACTAACAAAGAAAAAAAAAGTTAGAAGCCCTGCGTGTCTCTTGTCTGCTTTTTTTCCCATCAGAGCTGTGTTAACTGGGGTTATTCATGCCCACATATAGCTCAGACACAGAGGACTTAAGCCTTTAGGGAAACCATGCAGGAGAGATTCCTTCACTTTCCTGTTTCCAATGAAAAGGAGCTCATGGTTTACATTCTTGTTTTGTTAAATAACACATTACATGAATGGGCTATACAGTGCATCACAATATGAGCAGGTAAAACAGGGCAAAGTGAAATGTCTTCCCACTTGAAAATAAAACAAATGTTTCCTTAAACTGTACCTTTTTTTCCTCTACAGCAAAAAATGGAAGATTACTATTATGACGAAGAGAACTTCAACTTAACTGACAGTTATGATTACAATTATGAACACGGCATCTGTGACAAAGAGGCAGTGCGGTCGTTTGCCAGCATCTTTCTCCCAGTCATCTACACCCTGGTTCTGGTGGTGGGTCTGGCTGGGAATGCCCTGGTAGTGGTGGTCTACACATCACGGTTGCGACTACGAACCCTGACAGATGTGTGCATCCTTAACCTTGCCTTTTCGGACCTGCTGCTTCTCTTCACCCTGCCCTTCTGGGCAGCCGATGCTGTCCATGGCTGGAGGTTGGGTTCAGTAGCTTGCAAGCTCACCTCCTTCCTCTACAGTACCAACTTCAGCTGTGGAATGCTGCTCCTGGCATGTGTCAGTGTGGATCGCTACCGTTCTGTAGTCCAAAATCCAACAGGCAGGACTGGGACAGGTCCTCGGGTGAGGAGACTCTGGTACCTGGTATGCCTGTCATTGTGGACTGTTGCAAGCTTGCTTGGCCTTCCTGAACTGATCTTCTCCACAGTGAAGCACTCCCATCATCACAGAATGGCCTGTGTAGCCATCTACCCAGCCAGCATGGCCCGTCCTGCGAAGGCGGCCCTGCAGTTGGTGGAGGTGACCCTTAGATTTGTGCTACCTTTCTTGGTCATGGTGGTGTGCTACTGCTGGGTGGGATGGGCACTGAGCCGGGCAGCTGGGGTACAGAGAGACCGGAAGTGGCGCGCCTTGCGGGTCCTGTTGGCTGTAGTGGCTGTATTCCTGCTCACCCAGCTGCCCTACAACGTGGTCAAGCTGTGCCGAGCAATGGATGTCATCTACATGCTCGTGACCGACTGTGAAGTCAGCAAAGGCCTGGATCGTGCTCATCAAGTGACAGAGAGCTTAGCACTGAGCCACGCCTGTATTAACCCGGTCCTCTATGCCTTCATTGGATCCTCCTTCAGAGGACATGTGCTCAAGGCTGCTAAGCACATTGGACAGCGGCTCGGGAGACCCCCGAGACACGTCACCGAGGAGCCGGCAGTGGAGATCGCACTCAACACGCATAATCAAACGCAATCTCAGTCTGGTTCAGAAGACCAAGACACCAGCACATTTACTATTTAAGATTCCAAATTTTACATATCTATTTTCCTGTAAGTGCCTATGTGAAATTGTATGTCTATGTGTGTGTGTGTGTGTGTGTGTGTGTGTGGTGTATATATATATATATATATATATATATATATATATATATATATATATATATATGTGTATATATTTTAACACACATATTTACTATGATGTAAGTTAAGACTTTAATAACCACACATATTAATTCACAGTGGGGGAAAAATACAGTCAGGTGTATTTGGACAAGGACAATTTCTTAAAATCTTGCCTCTACACACCACCACAATGGATTTGAACTGAAGCAGTCACTATGTTTTAAAAGTGTAGATGTTCAGTGTTAATTGAAGAGGTTTCACAAAAATTACATTAGCTGTTTAGGAATTACAGCCATTTTTATTCATAGTCCCCCATTTTCAGAGGTCCTTATAAATACTTATGCACCTGACTGGATATGTACAATGAGTTTTTATTGTCTAACTAAGTAAAGTATTTTAATAAATTAAACCTTTTGTTTAATAAAAAAATATTTTCAGTGACAAGTATCTACTAACAACTATTTCAATTAAATACAGCTGAAACACAAGATGCTCTGAGTGCTACTCTGCTTCCTCATGACAAATCCAATTCAACCTTACAGTCTCTGATGTCTTCCATGAGATCATCTGCATTTCATTTTATTACATCCAGTGGTTTTGGCTAGTGACCCTCTGATTTGAAAAATATTTGGCAAAGACGACAGCAAACAGCAAGGAGGATCCCTCTATGTCATTAAACAGGGAAACAGCAAAACAAACTGTTTCTTGGATGAGCTTTACAGCTGACTGCCATTTCTTTTATCCAATCATCTTTTGTTATTTTAATAATATAAGCTTAAAAGAGCAAATGTTTAGAGTGGAGTGCTGTCCACGGTCCTATGTAATGTCCTACCATTTTAGTGCTTTATAAATGCCCCGTCCAGACTACTAAAACAGTGACTTTAATCTATTCCCTTTAAAATTACTTGGTGCCATCAAGCTAATCCTGGCAGGCTCAGCATGTTGCATGGCCACAGCCCAAGAGTTAACAGTTCTTAAATCAAACCTATTTACACTATAGTAGCTATGGTAGAGAGGGGCCATCTTACTATAATTTGGCTCGACTCCATGACCAGAACCACCCCAGATGGCTCGTAAAAACATTTAGATAAAAAAAACTATTCAACTGTTTACTATTCTTTTCATTCATGTTCAGCTTTCTTCTTTCATCCTTGAAGGAGTCTGGCAAATGAATGCAATCTCCAGTACCTCTTAGTCTTCCTCTTTCCACTCTAATGCCTTACAGCTTGGACATGTGGGAGCTGGACTTTGTTCAGCACACAAACTAGGTGTGTCTATCTAGAAAGAAAAGTTTAAGCTGCAGTAGTCTCTCCAAGCAGAGGTATGCCTGATTACCCAGAAAATACAAGTATCCAGTTGCATGTCACAAGACTAAGAATATTAAGTCTTGTGTGATCCCACTCATTTATGTATCATTAAGTCATTATCAAACTCCTTTACAAGCTGCCTTTCATATTAATTCACCAGGGTCTGACGACATGTATAACTACATTATATGTGTATACACACACACACACACACTAGGATATTAAAGTTCAACATATGCACATCATTCCCTGCTTGTGTGAGTGTGTATGCAAATATAAACGCCTACGGTTAAAAAGATGAAAGATTGCAAGGCTGGGAATAATTTTAGTACACTGTCATGCCCATGGGACAGTCTTAGACTACTTTCATACCATGGAGTTACACTGGGAACATCTGTACAGCCTCCCATTTGCCTACTGAAAGATTGCCAGAACATTTTTAGAGAAAAAAAATCAAAGCAAAGATGCAAACTGCATCATTCTTCAGTGCATGTGGAGTAAATGGGGTATCCTAATATTTCCAGTAATTTTTCCAGTAAGTTTGAATTATTCCAAGACAAGCAGCAGTCATTCAAAGAACACTACCACACATTTCTGCAGAAACTGCCATGTAATTATCATAATAAAAAACAGCATAGATGATAAAACTATACTTTGTCTATAAGAAATGTTCAATCCATCCATCCATTATCTATACCGCTTGGTTACAAGGTTGTGGGGGGCTGGAGCCAATCCCAGCTGACATTGGGCAAGAGGTGGGGTCCACCCTGGACAGGTCGCTAGTCTGTGACAGGGCTGACACTTAGAGACAGACAACCACACACACTCCTATGGGCAATTTAGAGTCACCAGTCAATCTAAGCTGCACGTCTTTGGACTGTGGTAAAGGAGCCAGAGTACCTGGAGAGAACCCACACAGGCACAGGGAGAAAGGCCCCAGGTCGGCCCGAGCTCAAACCCGGAACCTTCTTGCTAACCACTGTGTCGCTGTGAGAAATGTTAGTGTTACTAATAAAAACACAAACAGATCCTGCATAAGGGGACAACCTGTGAAGGCTTCTAAGTGCCTAAAACAATGTACTGGGAAACACCCATAACACGTCAATGAGGAGCTGGCACTGGACTCTACATTTGGTTCAAAGACAGAATGAATTACCATAGGAAAATATGATCCTTTCATTTTATACAACACTGTCTGGTTTTCCTTTCCCTTTTGTTGTAACTCAAGACAGATGTGTGACTGGACATTAGGACTCACTGTACAAACCCAACCAATTTCCACAACAACAGCCACAGGTATGATAACAGGCATCAACACACAGTGTTTTCCTAATAGAGAGATCTGTTCATGCTGGCAGAGGACTCTCTCACAACCCCAAGGATTTTTTCTACCGATGGAAATTTTACTTCCAAAGAAAAGAGAAATGTTAACAGAAAGAGAAACTGTAATAAGAGACAAGATTTTCAAAGTTTCTGCTTACTTTTGAAAAAATGTAGCACTTTAGGTTTTTAGTGAGAAGAAGGAATTCTGGGCAGAACTGCCAAAAATAACAACAAAAACCACAGGCCACTGCTTTTCTTTAAACTGGAAATGAAAACCGCAGACCACATCCGTGTCAGAAGAAACATCTGGAATATCTAAGTTCCCAGTGGCTGTGGAGGTACACAACAAACACCTAAACAACACCAATATAAACCTTGGATATCTAACTATAATTAGTGCTTAAGGCTTAATGTTATGATGCTGGTGACTTAATCTGCAGATGATTCATTACCTCAATATACTGTATGCTGTTCAGTAATTCTTATTGACTAATATGAACCCAAGTAATTTATAGAGCCAGTCAGTGGTCGAAGATAGACTAAACTGGACAATAAACCAGAAGAAAAGTGCCTCACCCTGGGTGCAAAAAAATAAACATATTCAGTGTGTGCATACAGTCAATTCAGTAAAGCATCAACAGTCAGACGCTTTTAAGAATGTAGATTTACAGTTCCATTATCTTCAATTTTAATGGCATTTAACTGCATTTATCATCTTTGTATCACAAAGAGTGACTGATCAATGAGAGGTAACAAGTTGATTCTGACCTTTTCCTGCTCCAAACTGATGCCAGAACAAAGATGCTACTCACTACATTTTCCAGAATGAAATGGAGCAAAGAGTTTTCAAGGTCTTTAAGAACTTAAGTACATAATTTTGATTTGATTTGATTTGATTGATTCTTTCAAACATGCAGAACAAATGACATCAACACACACA